ATAGAATAGAATAGAATAGAATAGAATAGAATAGAATAGAATAGAATGATAGCTAGGTAGTCATAAGGGCAAAACAGATCTTTGCCTTTGGACTCCCTACAAATAAAAAACTAATAGTAATAAAGAAATAGCTGCTAAAGCCATTGCAAAATGCCATGCCATTCCATCTTTGCGCCCTGCCACTTGAAGAAAAGGACATATCAAATCCGACCCACTTTTCATATAAAAAGATCAAGAATTAAAAATAAAAGAACAGCAATTTTTTTTTTAAAAAAAGAAAACCCAGCCCTCCAAAAGCATTGCATTTGATGGAAAGGGCGTTTGAAAAAGATTCAAAAAGTCTAAGGTAGTTAAACTCAAGTGATTAAGAAAAATGCAAGGCATGGTAGCACCCAGGACAGGTTATGCAATGGGGACCAAAGCTATTTAAGTGATGGGGAGGGGAGGGGAGAGAGAGTGGGGGAGAAGTTTTCTTTCTTTTTTTTTTTTAAAGGCTTTGTCTCCTCCCAGCTTTTCTGGTGAAAAAGAGCTCAGGTCAGAGGTGGTGGGAAAGGCTTCAACTAGAACCCCTGGAAAGCTGCTATTCTTAGTTCGATAATGCCCAGCTGGTGAAACCAAAGGCTTTCTTGGGAATCAGACGTTTTCTTGATACACTCTCATGCAGGATTGTATAAGTAGAGAAAGAATAAGGAGATCTTTAAATCAAATAGGAATCCACCCAGTCACTTGAAAGATAAACAGAAGGCAAAGAGCTACTGGTATGCAAAGAGGGCTTAAACAAGAGCTTTGATGCAACTTGAGGTAGCTGGCAATCCACTCCCAGGGCTAACGGTGAGGGATGCCAGGCCTTGTGGTCCAAGCCACAACTGGAGAACTACAGTTTCCCAGTGTCTGTCTTGGCATTGCAGTCCGAATATTATTGTCCTTCCCTGAGTAGTGCAAAGACGGGGGCAGGAGAAGACAACCAAGTTGTATCCAGACTGAGCCTTACAACAATTAACTTCATTGAAAATCAAGGGACTTTGATTTGGACCCCATCAAGCTTCTTCCACGCACAATATAAAACCCAAACAGACAGTGGGAAGGACAACAGTCATACTGAATTCTAAAGAAAAATCTTTCTGGCTGTTAAAAAAAAATGACACTAACACGATGGCAAATGGAAGACATAAATGTTTGCTGGACAAAAATAATTTTACTTCTCTTGTAAGACAGCATTATGCGTGAAGGATTACATTTCAAACAAGTTTTTTTTTAAAGATAATTGGAACAAATGCTCCCACAGGGATTACCCCCAAGAAATCTCACGTCTGACACCCATTCTGCCAAACCAGCAATCTGCAACCGATTCCCACAACTTCCTCCAATCCTCAATATGCCAAACGGCTCGGTTTTCACCTAAACCCGAACCATGATTTTTCAATCCCTGTTTGCTGAACAAAAACTACCATGGCCTGCTCATAATGCGAAGTTGTGAGGGAAGAGACACCTAGAGCAGGGGTCTCCAATCTTGGCAATTTGAAGACTTGTGGACTTCAACTCCCAGAATTCCTCAGCCAGCTGAGGAATTCTGGGAGTTGAAGTCCACAAGTCTTCAAGTTGCCAAGGTTGGAGACTCTGGGTCTAGAAAGATACAAATGAAAAATAGAAAGGAAAGGTGTTCACACTCATTTCTCTGTCCTTAAGGTCTCTGTGGGTTGGCCTTCAGCAATTCTGCTCAAGGTCACCTTCTCCCTTTTGGGGAAGGGGACCCAAACTTGGCAACTTTAAAGACTTGTGGACTTCAACTCCCAGAATTCTTCAGCCAGTCATGTTAGTTCAGGAATTCTGGGAGTTGAAGTCCACAAGTCTTAAAGTTGCCACATTAGGAGACCTCTGCTTTAGGAGAAGGAGAAGTTTTCTCCACGTTGCCTACTAAGGTCTTCACAGCCCAAACCGCTTGGTTAAGAGTCAGAGACCACCTGAGCAGAACTGGATGGATTCTCCCATGACACTAAATCTAAAACTCCAATCTTCTTTAGAGCTTAGTAGGCATTGGGCATTAACTAAAGCCCCCTGGTACAAGAGAGGAACTGCACTTACCTTCACATAGATGACAGGGATGGTCTGTTTGGCTTTGGTGAAGTGGCGGGCCACACGATAGACCGTTTCGGGCACATAGTCGAGGACTAAATTAAGGTAAACTTCATCCTTCTGCAAGAGAGGGAAAAAATATAAGAGATCACAAGGGAATTCCTCCAGTTAACAGCGTCTTATAAAACAGGGGTGGGGGAACTGTGGCCCTTTTACGACTTGTGGACTTTTAACTCCCAGAATCCCTGAGCCAGCAGGAACTCTGGGAGTTGAAGTCCACAAGTCGTAAAAGGGCCACAGTTCCCTACCTCTGCTATAAAAAGGTCAGCAGACTATATTATTGCTATTTGATTTGTATGGCAGCTCATCTCATCTAAGCGACTGACAACAGGTAAAAAGAATCCAAGAGAAAACAAGTCAAGTATCAACATACAAACACATAAAAAGTGTCCCTTGTCCATGATGGAAGCCTCCATCTTGTCAGCAATGCCGCTTCCATAAAGAAAGATTCTAGGCCCTGCCTGGTAGCTGCCATCTAAAAACGCAGAGATAAACATGCCTCACTTATAAAATGAGAAATGCCCTTCCTTTTCACCCTTCTCAGAAAATCCTAGTTTGAAATCCAGTTGCAGACACCACCGTTGCGGCTTCTTCCTTCCCTATAATTCTTGAGGTTTTGTGCTCAGGGGCATCATATTATTACTATCTTTCATTATTTTTGGATTCGGCTCCAACAACAAACATGCAGCTTGCAGCTGAACTCTTATAGAGTCTTGCCTCAGATTAAGCATCGGCTAAAACAGCGGTCTCCAATCCCCAGTCCGTGGACTGGCAACCAGGCCACGCAAACAACCGAAGCCCCATCCGTGGGATGCAGGCAGCGCACAAAACCAGGCCCCGTCTGGCCCATGGAAAAACCGCTCTACATGGGACCAACCCCTGGTGCCCTTAAAGGCTGCGGGCCACAGGCCTAAAATACAAAGGGTTGGAAACAAAGAGGAGAATTAAGCACCTCTCGTGATGGAGCGTTATTCTTTCAGCATCTCTAGAGACCCAGATTTCAGAACCTGCACGTGGAGATTTCCCCACTAAAGACACCCCCTGTAGATGTGCCTCCCAGGTTTTACTCTTTTAAGCTGATAGAAAAGAATTTCTCAAGATCTGGCAAGATTTTTCTGGCTAGGAAGAGTAGCATACAGCATACGGGTCATCCTCGGCTTACAACGGTTTATTTAGTGACCTTTCAAAGTTACAACGGCACTGAAAACAAGTGACTTCTGACCGCTTTTCACACGTAGGACCTTGCGCCCCCCCCCCCCCCCCCCCCCCCCCCCACCCACCACCCCCCAGAAAAAAACGCCCCCCCGCCCCCTTTTCACCCCCTGGCCCCCCCCCCCCCCCCCCCCCCCCCATGACCGTGTGATCAAAATTCAGATGCTTGGCAACGGGTTCATATTTATGACAGTCCCTTTTGCAACCCTTCAGACAAGCCAAGCCTACAGGGAAGTCAGATTCCCTTAAAAACCGGGTCACTAACTTACCAATTGCAGCGATTCACTTTGTGAACTGGAGCAAAACTCACTTTACAAATGTCTCACTTAACAGAAACACTGGGCTCCTAAGTTGAGGACCACCTGTACTTAACAATTAACCTACACCGTAGACGCATCACATAAATCCTGTTAATCCATGTTCAAGTTCCCTTTGGGGGTTATCAGCATGGGAGATCACTTGAGCTGTAGGCAGCTTTAAACTCTTTTATTTGGTTTTCAAACTCATTGGAGAACTTTGACATACTTAGCCATTGGGTTCATGAAATGCCTTAAGACAGGATCTAACAAACCGCAGCATAACCGGGAGACCAAACAGTAACTATCAACCTTATCTGTCTCACAAGGCTATTGTGTGGGTAAAATTGGAGAAAAGAGCAGACCAGAAGTATTAGGAGGATACTTTGGACATGCAGTGCAGACACCAAAAGTCATTTCAACCAGGGAGAATCCATGTCTGAATGGAATGTATCCAGAAAACGATCTTTTCATGACAGATAATCATGAACGTTTCTCCATGCTACAGCCTGTCTAATTGCCATATTTTCCCCTATGATTTCTCTTGTTAGACTGTGCACTTTGAGAAATTTTTGTGGAAGAGCTACAAGGCCATTTTGGGTAACAATATGATTACTAACCCAGATTAACCTCTAAGCTTATATTATTTGGGGAAACTGTTGTCGATGACCCTTGATGAATGTATCTTTTCTTTTATGTATACAGACAGCATTTGCACCAAGATAAATTCCTTGTGTGTCCAATCACACTTGGCCAATAAGGAAGGAAGGAAGGAAGGAAGGAAGGAAGGAAGGAAGGAAGGAA